TACAACAGTTTGGAGTGAGACCTACACTGTTGGGAGTGAGACCTACACTGTTTGGAGTGTCTTCACAGCCAGGTGAGGAGTTAAAAGATGTTCCTTCAGGGTCTCTAACTTTCTAACAGTGGAATAGGAAGTGGTCATCGTTGTGGGATAAAAACCAATGAAATGAATTTAAAATGTTGCCTGAACAAAACAAAATAATTATCTTTAATCCTACGTTTGTACTTTATATTTTAAAACATGTGATGCTTCTAAATTAACGACTTTGGTAACGACAGACTCACTTAGGATCACCAGGAAGTCCAAGTTGTTGCAGCTGTCGGTGAAGTAGTGCTGTCTGAGCGCGATGATCTTCACAATGAACTCTGTGAAGTAGAGGATGATGACGACGAAGTGGAGCCAGTCCAGAATGTTTTCCGTCTGTTCGCTCTGCTGGTCTGACTCCACCATCAGGGTAACCATGTTCAGGCAGATCACCACCACCACCAAGACTTGAAAAGACCGTTTAGTCACCAGGTCAAAGAGCCGAGCCTGGAGGCAATTCTACATGAGACAATAAGCAGACGATGTCAAAGGGACATACGACACATAGAAACCAGTGAAACCCTGTTATGAATTTATTCAGTTTATTATGAATAAATTCTGAGATCACAATCCTCATCATCCTCATCCTCCTCATCATGTTACTCTGACAGCTGAGAGTGAAGACACTTTAGTATCTTCTGCATCTTAACACTGATGATAAAAACAACAGCAAGAATATGATTTATGATCTGCATTACTGACTTCACGATTACTTTATTTCAGCATGTTGACCATCATCGCATCATTTCCCATCATGCTTCTTGTTTTACTAACTAATTACACAAAGACCTGGATCAGGTGTTTACAGGCCCCAGTAACTGCAGACCCTGCAGCTAATACTGTTCAGGGACTGTTTTCCTCCTCGGAGCTGCTGAATGAATATGGACCCTGGTCTGACCTGAACCCTAACCTGAACCTTAACCCTAACTCTGACCTGTATTAACTGTATTAAGAACACCGTGAGACTGAAAGTAAATAAACACACCTGAGGTCGTGGAACAGGTTTCTGAGGTTCCATCATACGTTTCTTAACAGACTGGCAATATTTCTGCTGTTGCTTTGTCATAAAAATCTGTTTTCCTGCAGAGTAAAGACAAAAGTAAAGACAAACGTAAACACCAATATTTAAAAAAGTGAAGACAAAAGTAAAGACAAACGTAAACACCAATATAAAGACAGTCAGTCTGTCTCTCAATATAAAGACGTATCTTTTGTCTTTGCAGGCTGTCGATGATGACTCTGATGAAGTAGTTGAAAGTGAAGAAGGAGCTGATGATGAAACCGATGAAGTACAGGTACATGTAGGTGTTGGACTCATAGACGGGCTGTGACTCAAACTAAACACACACACACACACACACAGTTGTATTTCCATCGCTTTAGAAGACGTAACATTGCATTAACTTCCTGCAAACTTACCATAACCATAACTATTACCATAACTATTACCATAACCATAACTATTACCATAACTATTACCATAACCATAACTATTTCCTACCAGTAAAGTAACAGTTGGTGTACTGACCCATGTGGCGTCCACAGCTGCGTACATGACCTCCACACAGTCGACTGAGAGCGCCTGACAGAGAAACACACGAGTCATGAAAACACTGGATGAAGTTTGTTTCTAATGTAAACTCAGGTTAACGTGTCAGGTACTGCTGGACTAAATGATACATATATATTTCTATAAACTATATCTACATGATCCTCATCTTTGTGGATAAATATGAAACAGTGAAGTGAATCATGCAATTTATTTCATCGACACACAAACGTTTTGGGAGTTTTTGTCTGTAATTCGAACAGTTTTGTTGATGGTGGAGAAACACCCATCACAAAGTTAGAAGGGAGTTTGTCAAGCCACCTACAACAAATACTTCATTGTATACTTTATTTAAATATTGTTCTCTAGCTCAGACTACGAGTGTTCGGACTACGAGTGTTCGGACTGCGAGTGTTCGGACTGCGAGTGATCGGACTGCG